CCGCTATCCACATTTATACGATGACCAATAACAGTATAGTGACCAAAATCTGTCAGTGACCAAAAAATCATTAGTGACCGAAAATCCAAATTCCGTCAAGTGACAAATGTTCACCTGTCTAGTGACCAACGTCCGTCCGTACAGTTACAGTTACCCGACCCGTCCAGTTACAATTACCCGACCCGTCTAGTTACAGTTTTTGACCCACCTAATTATAGTTTCAGTTACATAACACGTCCAGTTATAGTTACCAATCCGTCCACTTACAGTTACCAACTCGTCCCATTACCAACAAACCACCACTGGCCACCGCCACCGCTGGCAACCACCCCTCCCACCTCCGGCGACCACCACACCCATCCCAATGCCTCACCCACCCCCCTCTACTAGTCACCCTAGCTCCCTACCCCCCGCATCACCCAACCCACTCTCCCCTGCATCACCTAGCCCCCTCAGCCCCCTGCCTCACCACCTCCCTCTGCCCCTCTGGCACCACCTCGCCTTCCCCTCCTACTGCTCTACCCCCATGCCCAACCTCCCTCCAGTCTCCCCAGGCCGCGACTGCCATTGACAGCAAAAACCTAGCCGCGACAACCAACAAAAACCGAATAACTCTAGATGCGGACGTCAATAACCCCCGGAACCCTCGTTGCCGACCTCCGGAGTCCTCATCGCTGTTATCGCTTCCAAATCGCATTCGTCGATTCCGCCAACAACTTCTTCACCTTCGCCGCCATCGACTTGAGATAGAAAATGGAGAAGGAGAAGAGTAAAGGCGGCGGCGGCCTGAAGGAGGAGGAGGCGGCGACCTGGACGCGGAGGAGGTCATGGCCGATCTAATTTTTAGGTTCAAATTAATTTAGATTGCCTTTTTTCTCTTCTTGTAGATATAAGAATCATTAAAGTGGCGTCTCAAGTTTAGAGTCGTATAGGCGATGTCATTTTTCGTCTTTTAAAATATTATTTTTATATTAAAATATCAATGACACATTTAATAAAGCGATTACTTGTGGTTATCCTTGGTTATACCTGTTACCCGTTGGGGTGGACATGGTTTGGATAAAAATTACTCGTTGGGTATGGGGCGGTTACAGGGTGCGGAAATTGCCCAACAGCGGGTACGGTTATAGGTATGCATGGACCAAACCGGGCCCGGGCCAGGCCTAGGCCCGATTGGGCCTTTTGTGGTTGGGGGAATGCCCGGGATCGGCCCGGGTTGCCACCGGGTCCGGTTCGGGCCGAGCCGGGTTTTAATTTTAATTTTTTTTGCTTTTCTTTCCTAACTACCCCCAACCCCCCCCCCCCCCCCCAAAACATCAAGCCCAACCCGGGAAGCCCGAAAAACTAGAAAAAAACGGTTTTGGCCCGAACCGGGTCCGGCCGGGCCGGGTACCCGGTTTTGGCCGCCCCGCTTAAGCTATCAAACCAGGTCAAGGACCAGTTTCAGACCCGAGGCACTGGGCTGGGCCAGTCCCGCACAGTAGCGGGCCGGACTGGTTCTCGGGCCGGGTGGCCCGAACCGAGTCCATGCCTAGTTATAGGCAAAACCGTCCCCTGATCCGCCCAGTTACCATCCCTCATTATAATGATGATTATTGGTCGTTGGAAACTAGGTAAGAGAGTGCTAAGCTAGATGTGACTCATGTGAGAAGTCTCTCTATCGCGGAAACACAATTAAATCAGATGTGTAACATGTGTAACATGTGAGAAGGAGACCGAAGATGAAATGGAATCAAATCCATGTTCACAATTGGGCTATACCGGTGAATTTTTCAGAGAGGATTTCATTCTATATACTTCGCAAAATTGCTATTGGTACCCCAAATCCTACCCCATTTTGTACCCCCTCCCTAGTTTTGTGGTTAAAAAAAAGCAATGAATTAAGTGGGGCAATTATTTTGTGGGGTTGGGGTTTTGTGAGCCACTCATAAAGTGAGGTACAAATGGGGTACCCCATTTTGGGATACGCATTTCTCATATACTCTGTAATGGATAAATAAAGTATTACTGTTTTTTCGATTGCGTATATAACAAGTCTCACAAGAAACGTAAATGGGAAATACTCATCAACTTCAAAGTTCAAATACACGTGCCATCTTATCATCACTTTCATCAACCTTAAATACTTTTTTTAGGAAAAATTGAAAGTAATAATCCCAAGTTCACAACTATTGGCTGTCCGTTCATAATAATCTCAACTATTGATTATTACAGAATAATCCCAACTTTAGGGACCTTCCGCCAATAATGGTCTCTACGAATAAATTCTTGTAGTTTCTAAAGTGGATGGGGTGAGATATAACAAGTAATAATCCCTACAAATAATCTCAACTTTTAATTTTTACGCTTAATTTCTATTTAAAATTCACTTTTTATAGAGGTAATATATGGTCATGGACCATTATTGGCGGATAGTCTATATAGTTGGGATTATACAAAAATAATCAATAGTTGGGATTATTTTCAGCGGACCGGCAATAGTTGGGATTATTATTTTCAATTTTTCCTTTTTTTTAATAATCGACCTTAATTAAATACTTATTCACATATTTATAAGTGTGGTAGATTGCACTTTATTTAAAATAAATAGCATGTTCGTTATAGACTTATCTTCATAGCTTACTATTATAAGTACTAAATTATTATAGAAATTACTTCAAATAGGACTAAAACTATGGCAAAAACTCAAAATAGGACTTCCTATGTTTTTATTCCAAAATAGGACCATAGTGGTCCTATTAGAAACATACTCATTTCTTCCTTCCATTCTTACCCCTCCTTTAAATATTAGTAAAAGATAGCTAAAAGTCATAATTAAATGTTTAATTCATAATAAATCCGAAAAATTTCAATAATTCGTAGAAAATTAATAAAAAAAATTAATAAAATTTTATAAAATAAAAAATAAGAAAACAAATTTTAATTTTTTTTTGAAAATTAATAAAAATAGTAAAACTCCAAAAAAATATTAAAAAAAAATATGGATACCTTTCCCACCGCCTGTACTACCTCCCTGAACCACCACCTCCGATCGGTGTAAAAAATGCCACTTTTTTTTAATTCCACAAAAATGACATGTTTCTCTATGAGAATGCCAACATTTTCATTCTGTAAACTTGAATCCTTTTGACTTTTGCCAAAAATATGGCATTCATAATTTTTTTTGGCATTTTTTTACCCCGGTGACAAGAGGTGGTGGTACCGCCTCCCTGCACCACCACCTCCGACCGTTAAAAAAATGCCATATTTCCTACAAACTACCATTTTTTCGGAAAATGCCAAAAATATGGCATATTTCTCTTTGATAATGCCAACATTTTTTTTGTCATCTTAAATCATTCTGAATTATGCCAAAAATATGGAATTCATAATAAATTTGGAATTTTTTCTCCAAATGACTAGAGGTGGTGGTGCTGGGGCGGCAGAGGTGGCGGTGACAAAAAAATTTTGATTTTTTTAATTTTTTTTTAATTTTTTTTTTTTTTGATTTTTTTTAAATTTATTATTATTCAAAATATTTTTATTACTTTTTTGGTGTGTTTTACGAATTTTTATTATTTTTTATTATTTTATTATGAATTAAAACATTCCAATAGGTATAAGGGTATATTTGTCCAAGACACACATAATTAGTCCTATGGAAACATAGTTTATTTTTTGGTCCTATTTGTGCAAAGTGAATGACTTTTAGTCTTATTTTGATAATTAACTCAAATTATTATTGAATGATGATATTTTTTTAATAACTATAATATTATTTATATCAAACTTTTTGTTATTCTTTCAATATATAGATAAAATACAAATTGTGAAAATGATACACATTGATGACTTGATGAGTTAAATGAATTGGCGACGATCTTGACTTTTGAAAAAAAATGGAAGGGGTTCCCCGTTTCCCAACTTTGATTTTGATGAATTTTGAAATCGGAGAGATCTGTACAAGATTTGCATGTGGTGGAATGTTTTGCATGTAGAAATTCACCAAAATCCACTAAAATTCATCCAAATAAGCAATACAAAGTAATAGAAATTCATGGAATATTTGAGAATACCCTTATTTTCATGGATTCAATAAAAAACCAAATTGGGAACACCTAAATTCTAACGGAATTCTAAAATCCATTAAAAGATTTTAGAATCCACATTGGGGCACCCCCAGAATTGAGCTTCAACATTTTAATACTCCCTCCGTCCCCTTTTAAATGTCTCATTTTATCATATTTGGATGTCCCTATTTAATTGTCTCATACCTTATTTGATAAAATTTGTGTGGCTCAAAATCATTCTTATTTTATTTTTACTTTATCAATTAATATCAACCACACAAACCCACTTTTCTTAAAATTCGTGTCACCCTCTTCCGTCCCATTATAAAAGGGACGGAGGTAGTAAGATTTATAACACCAAATAAGTTATTTTGAGCAGAGTGGTAAAAACATGTGAAAAGAAATTCTTTAAAGGTGAGCTTATTAACCAAATACTAGAATTCTAATACTAAGAGAGACAAAAATGAGTAAAGATTCTCATATCTAATGTCATTACAATTTGTCCAAAAGGTTGAATTCCCAACCCCAAGGGCCCCCAATGCCCCGACCCGACAGAGCACATGGGAATGCCATCCCAACAATAGGAGTTGTGACCTCCGCACGATCGGTGCAAGTTTCGATCATCGCTAATGTCATTACAAGTCTTGGGAAAGAGTAGTTATTGCTAAAAACATCACACATGTAACCTTAAATGCTAAAAAACATGAACTAGATTATTGCTTCAATCCCATTTGAGGCTTGATTATATAGCCAAAATACACATATTACAAACAAATCTGATAATTGGATCAGAGTTACAAATTAAAGTTCACTCAAACCCAATTTCAACTAGAAAAATAGAAAATAATATTTGAAATTCCATCAAGCATAAGATCATATTAATAGGAAGGTGATTCAACACACAATAATCGTGGATATATATGAACAAAAAAGTTTGCAAAGGGACAAGGGCTTAGATGAGAGGAAATAGACAAGGGGTAAAAAGAAAGAGCAATTCTTTTCCTTTCCATGGTGTGTACACATCCAAATTAAAGTGCTTTTCTGTAGAAAACATCCTAGGCTATATCTAAAAGTCCAGCCGCCACATGATTACATCAGTTTGCTCAAGACTTAACGACTTACATTAATGTTTCTGTGAAATACTAGCTCTGCTGCGCTCTAAGTATAAATTCCCCATATTTTCAGCCATGCATAATGCATTGTCACAACGAGTAAATTTTCAGCCACCCACGAGCACTGTAAAACCTTTCCTCAATTCATGGATTACACAGCCATCACCCAATTTCTATTCTACCCTCCTCTCCTCTTCCTTCTGTATCTAATCTCTAACCACTTCCACCGGAAATTCAAGAACTACCCGCCGGCCCCGTTCCTCACCCTCCCCGTCGTCGGCCATCTGATATACCTTTTGAATAAGCATCCCCACAAAACCTTAACGCATATCTCCAAGCGCTGCGGCCCAGTCGTCCTACTCAAGTTCGGCTCCCGGAAAGTCCTCTTGGTCTCCTCTCCGTCCGCGGTGGAAGAATGTCTGTCGAGGAACGACGTCGTTTTCGCGAATCGCCCCCGTCTCCTGCCCGGAAAGCATATAGAGTACGACTACACCTCCCTAGCCGCGACGCCCTACGGCGACCACTGGCGCAATCTCCGCAAAATCGTCGCCACCGAAATCCTGTCCGGTAATCGCCTCCAGGCGCTCCAACAGATTCGCGCCGATGAGGTGAAATCAATGATTCGGAAGCTGGATTCGTCTTCGAAAGCGGAGTCGCCGGCAGACATGAAGACTGTGTTATTCGAGTTGATGCTGAACCTGATGTTGAGGATGATCGCCGGAAAAAGTTATTACGGCGACGACGAGGAAGTGCATGTCAAGGCGGCGGCTCGGTTCAGGGAGATTGTGAGGGAGATTTTCCTCCTCAGTGGGGCCACCAACGTCGGAGATTATGTGCCTTCTTTGAGTAGGCTGTCCGTGAAATTGGAGGAGAGTTTGCGGCAGTTACAGCTCAAGAGAGATGCTTACTTGTATACGAAAATAGAATTTTGGGAAATAATGGCTTGCACTCTTGGGTGCCTTAGCCTTGTATTTATAATAAAACAGAGTTATGGAGAATTACAAAGTAATCCCTAAATATTACATTATTACACCCCCTCAATTTGTGCAGGGGAAATCACGTGCAAATTGGAACGTAAAAATTCAAAACGCTGACTAGATAAATTTTTGGTGAAGATATCAGCTAACTGCAACTGTGTTGGAATATGCTTCACCACAAGGTCTCCATGTGCTACTCGCTCACGAACAAAGTGGTAATCAATTTTAATGTGCTTACTTCGATCATGCTGAATGGGATTAACTGCCAGATAAGAAGCCGATACATTATCACAAAGAAGTTGTACCGGAGCCGAAATAAAAATACCCATATCTGCCAGAAGAGATCGGATGAAAAGCGTGTCCTGAACAGTGTAGGCAATGGCCCTGTATTCGGCCTCAGTAGAAGATTTGGACACCGTTGGTTGTTTCTTGGAGCGCCAGGAGATTAAATTGGAAACCAGAAAAACCGCATAACCTGTAGTCGAGCGCGAACTGTCGGGGCAGCCTGCCCAATCGGCGTCAGAATAGGCCATAATAAATGAAATATTTTTATCCGCTCGTAACCATAAGCCATGAGTGTTGGTGCCCTGCAGATACCTGTAAATCCTCTTAACAGCCAAGAGGTGAGTAGTACGTGGAGCATGCATAAACTGAGACACAAGGTGTACAGCATAAGTAATATCAGGTCTAGTAATAGTTAAATACTGAAGAGCACCTACCATACTACGATACTCAGTAACATCAGATAACAGTTCCCCATCTGTGAGAGAGAGGGTAGTGCGTGAAGGTAGAGGAGTACGAACAGGTTTAACAGTGTGAAGATGAAAACGACGTAAAAGATCGGAGATGTATTTTGCCTGAGACAAAAATAAACCTGTAGGTGTACGTTTAGCCTGAACACCCAAAAAATAATGGACATCCCCTAAATCCTTCATTGCAAACTGATTGGATAAGGTATGTATGACAGAGGAAACAAAGGAAGCAGAAGAGCCTGTAATAATAATATCATCCACATATAAAAGAATATAGACCACCTGAGAATCATTACGAAAAACAAACATGGATGAATCAGATCTGCTCTGCGAAAATCCACGACTCAACAAAAAACCACTGAATCGATGAAACCAAGCCCGAGGAGTTTGTTTCAACCCATAAATAGCCTTACGAAGGCGACATACATGATTAGGATAAGAGGGATGAATAAAACCTTGAGGTTGGCGCATGTAAACCTCCTCAGTGAGAACACCATGCAGAAAAGCATTTTTGACATCTAACTGACGAACAGACCATCCCAAAGAAACGGCAACAGATAAAACAAGACGGACAGTGGTAGGTTTAACAACAGGACTAAAAGTTTCAGTAAAGTCTACACCAGCCTGTTGTTTAAAACCTTGAGCAACTAGACGGGCTTTATGCCGCTCAACAGATCCATCAGAATAATATTTTGTCTTATAAATCCACTTACAACCAACCACATTTTTGGTATGATCCCAAGGTACCAAATCCCAAGTCTTATTATTAATCAAAGCATTAAATTCATCCGCCATGGCTGCCCGCCAAATAAAACTCTTATTGGCCTGAGTAAAACAAGTAGGATCATCCGGGGGAGATAAGACACTCAAGGTAAAAATGTGCTTTGGTTTGAAAATGCCATCTTTTGCGCGTGTACGCATCGGATGGAGATTTAGCGGGGCAGGTGGGGTCGGGAGAGGTGAAGCCGAAAGCTGGCTATGGTTATCAGGCTGTGAGGCGTTGGAAGAATCAGTGTGTGTTGCAACGGGGCTGTCCAAAAAATTATTGAGTGATGGAGTGACTTTGGGTGTGCCGGGTTTACTGGGTGAAGAAGTAGGAGGTGTGTGGCATGCAGGAGACTGGTTCGGTGTAGTGCATGCCGAGGGAGGGGACTGATTTGGTGTGTGGCAGATTAAGGGAGTGGACTGGGTTGGTGTAGAAAGGCAGGTGGTGCTACGGGTGGTGGGGGAGGCAGATTGTGCATTTGGCAGAATTGGTAGGGTGGAGGAAGGCTGAGAAACATCAGAAACGGAGGATGAAAGCCAAGAAGAAGGCAAGGTAAATGTCGGGGAAGAAGATGTGTTTACTAGGGAATTATATGGAAAAACATTTTCATTAAAAATCACATCCCGACTAACATAAACCCGGCCTGTGGAAGGAGATAAGCACCTATAGCCCTTGTAACCCGGAGCATACCCAAGAAAGACACAATGTGTAGAACGTGGTGATAATTTATTGTGTGAGGCAGCAATAAAATTAGGAAAACATGAGCACCCAAATACACGCAAAAAATTATAGTCAGGCAATTTATTAAAAAGTTTTTGAAAAGGGGAGACTCCATTTAAAACGGGGGTAGGTAAACGATTAATAATAAAAGTGGCTGTGTATAACGCATCTACCCAAAAGTGACTAGGAATAGAAGAATCAATTAACAAGGTCCTAGTCAACTCAAGTAAATGTTTATGTTTTCGTTCAGCTACCCCATTTTGAGCAGGAGTATGAGGACAAGATTTTCTAAATAAAATGCCTGAATTTAAAAAATGCGTGTTAAACAAAGAATTATCAAATTCACCCCCACCGTCACTTTGAAAAATTTTGATTTTTGTATTTAAAAGATTTTCAACCAGTTTTTGAAAATTAATAAAATGTGTAAAAACTTCAGATTTCCTACGCATGGGATAAACCCATGTATATCTAGAGAAATCATCAATAAATGACACATAATATTTATAACCAAGATTAGAAACAACTGGTGACTGCCAAACATCAGAATGAATAATTTCCAAAGGTGTAGAAGTATCATGAATAACATCGATAAAAGGAAGTCTGTGGGATTTACCCAACTTACACGAAACACAATCATGAGTAAAAATTGAAGAACTATGAATTAATTTATTGTGCCTAAGAGTACAAAGAACTCTATCACCACAATGTCCAAGACGCTTGTGCCAGACTGGACCAGGTACTACTCGGGCTTGAAAGGCAATAAAGGGATAGACATGGTCTTTATTGGTGGCTTGAAGAAGAAGCTCCCCCGTTTGATTGTCCTTGACAGAAAAAGAATTTTTATCAAAAATTACTTGACAGGCATTATCCGCACACAACTTTTGAATAGAGAGTAAATTGTATTTAATGTGTGGGACATGATAAACAGAGTTAAGATGTAGCGGGCGGCCAGATGTGAGTAATTTAACGTGACCAATATTAGAAATTGGTAATTTAGTACCATTAGCAACACATACTTGATTCGGGCCAGTATAAGGAAATTTAGAAGATAAAATACCTTCATGAGGAGTCATATGCGCGGAAGCCCCAGAATCAGGATACCAGACTGAATCGTGTGTCTCACCAGTGGGAAGTGCCGCAAGAGCAGGAGTATGTTGAGCTGTGAAACGGGAGCAAGTGATGGCGGAGTGACCTGGAGAGAAGCAAAGCTGACAGACAACTGGAGGAGCAGGTGAGGGATAGGAGTTCTCAACAGATGGATAACCTGCACTAATATTATGAGTACCACGAGTAGGAAGGTGATTAGTAAAACTAAAACCAGAACTAACATTACTAAATGCCAAACCTGCGCCACCAGGATATGGAGAACCACGTGGAGGACCCGGCTGTCCGTAGAGTGCCCCATATGCCGGATAGCCCCCAAAAGGTTGCGGGTATTGCTGATGATGTCCGCGACCGCCACGCCCGCGACCACCCCGAGGTCTGCCCCCTCGGTTGCCGCGTCCGCCTTGTCCGCGTGGGGCTGCTGCACCGTAGCCGCGGGGAGCATGTCCTCGGCCCTGGGGTGCTGGAACAGCTGCAAATGCCTGGTGAACCGTGGGTGGGTCTTGGGACGAAACAGTAGTAGCCCGGTGCTCTTGAGCTTGAAGAATTGGGCGCAGAGAATCAAGTGTAGCATTCCCAGGAAAATAGGATATGGTGGTAATAAGAGATTCATATTCACGTCCCAGACCCAAAATTGCATATTCCATCAAATCACGGTTACTAACAGGAGAATTAATCATAGCCAGTGCATCAGCAATCAATTTAATTTCCAATAAATATTGGTCCATAGTTTGTGATTCTTTCTTTTTAATATGTGATAAAGATCTCTTTAGCTCTACGGACCGAGCAAAACAGGCAGACATAAAACGTGTTTCAAGACGCTCCCAAATCAGATGAGAAAATTTCAGATCATATACCTCCATCAAAATATCCCTAGCAAGTGTAGCAAAAATCCAAGACCTAACCGTTTGGTCAATTTTCAACCAGTGGTAGTAGTCTGGATCCGTGTCAGGCGGAACCCGAATTGAGGCATCTAGTATCCCAAGAAGACTGTGAGATACTAAGAAGGACTCAAACTGGGTACGCCATGGTAAATAATCCTAAACGGCAGATAATCGGGTAGTGACAATATTAGTCACATTGGGTGTTGAAAAAGCCAATTGAGAAGACAAAGCAGATAAGGAACCTGGGAATTGAGAGGTGCTGGAGCCGACTGGCAGTACTGGAACTGGAGAAGTTGTCTGCGGCTGACTCCCTTGGACAGTAAAAGTTGGTCCACCAAAGGCAGGGAAGGAGTTGGTGACCACAGGCCCTGAATTGATGAGAGGTGGTGGAGGGAGAGTCATCGTGGGGGTCCAGGAAAAAGGAGTCGGCATATTAAATAGCTTGTACGAGTCTGGGGGAGGAAGCTCTGTGATTCTTTGCCGAAGATGAGCTGCTAGCGGAGACCAACCGGACTGCGCAGCTGGAACCGTTGATGGAGGTAGCGGACTCGACGGGACCACGCTGCTGGACCCAGTATCAAACGACGAAAGTGATGGCTGCACTACCGGAGGCGCCTGAGAATCCATGAAGCCAAGAGACTGTGTCGCTGGGGAAGAAGACGTAGTAACAGCGGCGTGAGTTTGGGCGCCGTTCATAGTGGAGAGAGAAAGGAAAAACCTAGGGCGACTGATACCATATACGAAAATAGAATTTTGGGAAATAATGGCTTGCACTCTTGGGTGCCTTAGCCTTGTATTTATAATAAAACAGAGTTATGGAGAATTACAAAGTAATCCCTAAATATTACATTATTAACTTGCAGGATTTGATTATAGAATGCCGGGAAAGGATGGCTGACGGCGGCGGTGATGCGGCAGGGAAAAGGAAATCATTTGTTGATGTATTGTTGACGCGGCAAGCAGAGGAACCTGAGTATTACAAAGATGAAATTATCAGAGGTCTCGTGTGGGTGAGTTGCTTTCATTCATGATTTTTTTAACCAAAATTTTATTAATGATGATCGAAGGAAATTACAACATGGGAGAATAGACATGTTAGAATGGGTCATGGCTGTAATTTGCCCCAGACCAGACCAGACCAGTCCAGACTAGACCAGACCAGTTCAGACCAGACCAGACCAGACCAGACTTGGATAGTTATAAAAATACAAAGAAACCAGACCTTACCAAACCAGACCAGACCAGACCAGACCAGCAAATTACAGTCCAAGTAAAAACATCCCTACTCTTCTCCATTTCTTTCTCTCCATTTACTCTCTCCATTTTTTTTTCACTCTATTTCTCTCCTTAAAAATAATACTCCCTCCATCCTGGAAAATTGTTCCCGCATTGACTTGGAATGGAGTTTAAGAAAGTGGGAATACAGTGGAAATGTATGGTTGTGGTTGAGTAAGAAAAAGGTAAATGAATTGTAGCCACAAAAAGTTTTTCAAAAGGGGAAAGTGGAACAATTTTTTGGGACGGCCCAAAAAGGAAACTGGGAACAATTTTCCGGGACAGAGGGAATAATTAAATCTCATCTTATATTCTTTCCTACCACACCATTTCCCCATCTGTCTCTGTATCTTTCCTACTGGAAAAGTCCAGTAACTGGAGAGGAGTAAAATTCTGTTAGAATAGACCTGAACCCTTAGTTGAATGAGATCAATATGTTCGAAAAAAAAAGTTAAAAAAACCCTCCGATAATTTTACATATAATTTTTTCTTTATTTTATTAGTAAAATATATTTTTAAAATATTTTTTTCTTAAATCAACAGAATCAGTCAATGCAACCACTTCAGCCAGAACTTCATAAATTTCAGCAGAATTAGTCGAATCAACTGATTTTCGTGTTACCAAACGGCTCTAGATTTTGTGTTTTGTTTTTTTATATATTCGATTCAACTATTAATAATTCTTAGGTGATATTTTAAGTGATTAATGTTAGGTAGTATCTATGGTACCCATAAGGTACTATACATTTGCCTACATGGACTAATCAGAATGATGCAGTTGAATTATTTAAATCTAAATTAAAAAGGATATAATGATTTAGATCAATCAAATGCATGATAGGTACGGTACCCCATTTTTTAATGGATACCGGAATTGTCACCATTTTATCTCTCATTACATTTTAAATGAGCATTCACCAATTCTACAATGTGCATTGTGTTAAAACATGTTGAGCTTTATTGTTAAGAAAGATTTATTCTAAGTTATTTGTAATGAATATGTTACATGTGTGAGTTATTGAAATGATTTTTATGTTATACATACATGAGCATCACATTCAAAAAATACACGACACTGGTGTCATATGAAATAAAAATACACGGTATATGTATTATGAATAATACAAGATTTAAAATTTTCAAAACAAATTGCACAATTTAATAAAAAAAAATAAAATACACGACATATGAAAAATAAAAAAATGTTAGGAATTTTGATATATTTTTTGTAAGAATTGGGGTATAATTTAAAAAAGTTATAGCGGTTTTAAAAAGTTGTTTTAAAGTGTTACATTATTTGTTTTATTCAATATTGGTGTAATTTGATAGATAATATAAAAAGTGTGAATTTTGATATATTTTTTCTGACAATTGGAGTATTAATAAAAAAAGTTATATTATATTAATGTAAACATAATATTTTATTTTGGTGGAGCCCTGAAGAATTCTAATTGAACACGACAAAATTTCTATAATTTATAATTGTATTTTTTAAATTTTAAAGTAATATTTTGAGAAATTATTCTTAATACATATACGGAGTGATATATAATGAGTAATAAAAAGCTACCCCGTAGTATTATAAATTAACTTTAGGTACATATATTCCAAATATAAAACAAGTATAACCGTTCTTAAAATCTTATTTTTAATACTTTTTTCCAATAATTTTAAAAATGAAATATAAGAAATATGAAAATTTTGTCGATATCCAAATGGGCTCATAGATTAGGGTTATATTTGACACTTTGAACTGTAAGTGGATGGTAATATCTGAATTAAAGGCTATTGTCTGAACTAGACATATTGTGTAGAGCTGAAGTTTGAAATGCTTCATTTGAACTGTTAGTTGGATGAGATAAATATGTTTGGCAAAAAGAGTTGAAAATGCTCGGATAATATGACCTAACCAGATCAGATAATACAAATCAAGCCAAATTCGTTCATAACAGAAAAATCAGACAAAAAAATCATTCCAATTAAAAATGTTTTTAATGGAGTCTTTCCTAAAATTTAGAATTCATATACGAAGTATAGTAGATTAGAATTTAATAAGTCTACGAAAAGTATTCATGAGTAAAATTTGGAGTTAATAGCTTATTATGGGGTTATATATTCACTATACAAGCAGAAGAGAGATAGACATATAAAATAAATTAGCTTATTATGGATTTATGGAGTTATCATTGATATTTTAAGGTATTCATGGGTAAATTTTTATTTGTCACCAAAAATTGAGATGATGATACATGATTTGGTACTAAAATGCAAAAAGGGACTTTAAAATTATACATGAAACCTAAAAAAACTAATTCCTTGATAACGGTCTAATTGAGAGAAAAAATTTAAAAACATTTCAAAACCATGAATATGAATTTATTCATGTATGAATTTATACAATGAGTTCATTTAACTCTATGAGTCAATGTTTCAAAATAAAAGTAAGATGTCCTTAATAGCTCCAACCCACCAACTTCTCAATGAGATTGTTGAGATTTTTTTCTCAATAAGATTGTTGAGCTGAGATAGAATTACCTAGCCTATGGTATTCATTTTCTGAATTTTAAATTGCACCCATACAACTTTAATAACATCACTATATTTGAAAACTCACATTGTCAAAAATTATCATATGAATCGTACTGTATATACTCTCTCCGTCCCAAAAACAACTTCCCACTTTCCTTAAATGGATGTCCCAAAATTAACTTCTCACTTCAATACTTTCCTTATTTGGCAAATTATCTACATCAAAAAAGTGATAAACAGTGCCAAACAGTGTTTAAACAGTGCCAAACAGTGTTTAAACAGTGCCAAACAGTGCACTCTACAGTAAAGTCAAATTTATTTCCTAAATATGTGTGTAAGTCAAACCGGGAGGTTGTTTTCGGGACGGAAGGAGTATATGAGAAAGCAAGTATACATGTATAACTTTATCAGTAATATAACAATTATATAGACATTGTTCATACTCAATTATCTGTTTTTTTTGTTTAAAAGTGAATTTTATTGAAAAAAGAAACGCAAACATTACAATGCAAATAGGAAACAAAAGAAAGAAAATCAAACATTACAGAAAAAGAAAAGATTAATGTTAACCCAAGAGAACTCTCTAAACTGAGACCTAGTCATCATACTCAATTATCTTAAATAGAAATATAAGGTCCATTTGGTAAGGCGGAGAAACAATTTGGTCCGCCTTGACTCAAAATCGTGGATCCATCCCTAATGGTTAGGCGGTCCAACTCAATTGGTGACAGGTACCACAGTCTCCGGGCCTACGGTAAAAAATAAGACTAAGTTACCACCATAAATAAGATGTTATCTATACATTCTTGTAAACAAATTTTATTTTGGTTATAAAATGTAATTACCCTATTCATCTCTTGTCCACGTGAACCAATTAGATTACTTCAATTGAATAATTTAAATGCAAACTTGAAATGAAATAATGATTTGAATTAATCAAAGAATGATAGGCACGACACTGTTATTTTCACGAGTACTGTATCATTTAACTTGATCGTATGCATTGAAGTATAGTGCTCTCACTTATTAGGGATGACATTCAACTACAAATTTTTGATGAATCTAATACATCAATATTATGTCCTTGTGACTTCAATATTTAATTTTATCAAAATTTTAATCTTAATTGTTACACTCAAGTAGAGTTCTCGTGTATTTTCTAAATATATAAATTTTAATTATCAAAAGTGATACACATGTTGTGGAAATTGAAGATTACATCTTATCTATTCTTTCATCCAAGTTGAGAATATCCCAGTTTATAAAATCATTAATACAATAATTCTTCACCTAAAGTTTGAAAAGTGTATTACAAAATGACGGACAAACTCTGATTCCTCCTATATAGTTTTTAGAATAAAATAACTTTATCATCCATATATCTCATCAAACGGACATTGTTTTCGAAAGAATTTGATGGAGATGAAGGATACACGCTACCAAATAACTTTATGTTCTATACTAACACAATTTATAAATGCTAATTCTTATATTGTCTAATAGGCGGTTAGTTGAAGTTGTTAAAGTTACTAATTAAAGAAGCTTTCTTTAATGAACTCCATTCCTTTCAAATACTTCATGAGAATGAAGTATTTAGTCAACTTCAATAATTTCGACAAATGCAATCACTTTAACGAATATCAACCAAATATGCTTATTTAAAAAGTAAGATGATGACAGAGATACTTATCTAAAAAGAATCAATGTAAACCAAATACTTCTGAGTTCTTATCTTAATTTTTTGTTTGTTTGTGATGGAAAGTTAATCTGGGGTCAAGATATATAGTAAGGGACTACTCTGTGTATTTGTGTTGAGCAAGGGAATTGTTCAAAAGACATCTCACATCAAATAAAAATGAATTACTAACATACACTAACAAGAAGAAATGTTTGATTATAACATACTACAGGATATCTTAGCAGCAGGAACAGACACATCAGCTGCAACAATGGAATGGACACTCTCACTACTTCTAAACCACCAACAAGTACTGCAGAAAGCGCAAGAAGAAATCGATGACAAGGTGGGATTTGAGAGACTAGTTGAAGAATCGGATATGGCTGACCTCCCCTATTTGAATTGCATAATAAAGGAAGCAATGAGAATGCACCCCGTTGGCCCTCTGGCGCTCCCACACGAGTCCTTAAAGGAATGCACTATAGCAAGCTATCACATCCCGAAAGGGACAATGTTGTTGCTCAACTTGTATTCGATCCAAAGAGACCCCGAATACTGGGATGAGCCGAAACGGTTCAAGCCAGAAAGATTTGAAGACTTTAAAGTAGTTACAACTGCTAAAGAAAATGGGTACAAATGGATGCCTTTCGGGTCTGGTAGGAGAGGCTGTCCGGGAGAAGCACTGGCATGGCGAATGATTGGGTTGTCATTGGCGTCGATTATCCAATGCTTTGATTGGGATAGACTTGGAAGCGAATTGATAGATATGAGTGAAGGACCTGGTTTGACTATGCCCAAAGCAATGCCTTTGGTGGCTAAATGCAAAACGCGACCTTTTGTCACCAAGCTCCTTTCTACCTATTAAACATGATTTGCTTGTGTTTTTGTTGTTTTATAAATATGTTTTTCATTTGAAATTATTGTCATGTAATATTTATAAACCACACATCATCAAATCGGATTGGAATATGGTGTAGTTACCCTAGTGTGGTGTACCTACTTGCTTAACCAAATGGAATCTAATTAATAATTTTATTTTCGTGATAGAAGACTATCATATATATAGATGATGTAACATCCAATTCCTCTCCCCTTCTTTTATTTGACTTTCCGCTTTACAAACATGTGCGGAGTATGTGAAATTGTGAATCGTGATGCAATATAATTTTATGGGCTATTGTAAGAAACTGGTTTGTTCATCAATTTACCATGGAAACAAAGGTTGCAGCTTTCAAGAATGAGATTCAATTGACTTAATAAGGGCTAGGCTATGTACTACACCAAAAATGGGAAAAGAAAAATATGAACTAAAAATCATTGGGATCGAATATCGAAGCATAGCCATAGTCAATGTTAATTGTTTAAATTACGTACATTACCACATAACAAAGTAGATACAAAAGTATCTACTACAAAAAAAAAAAAAAAAAAGTAGATACAAAAGTATGTTAAAAATAGATAAATTAAACATGTCATTATGCGCAAGCTAAGAGAGCTCAGTTCCACAAGCATGAAGTGGAATAGACAAGTTGAATAGACAAGTCATGCAATTCTAGTACCTAATTGACGGGCACTTTGTCATGGTGCGTCAAAATAAATTCAATACTAGCACTAATACGTAGTATAGTGAAGTGAAGTTCGTATCCACAGGAAAAAGAATAATTCTCTTTTTATGAACTAGTGAATAAAAGGGGAGTTTTGGTAATGTTGGAATTTAATTAATTAAATACTAAGTTGAATGACTTATATGAGTTTTAATTGAAAGATAAAAAGAACTTGGTCTTACTACTTTCCACTTGTTGATATATTTTAGTCGATCATTGTTATATCTATAACTTATCCCCTCTCGAATACTCAATCGAGGAGTATATCCAATTCATCGAGGGTAGTTATTAACAACGACCGTTCATATATTAATAACTCTTACTATTAGTCAAGTATAGAACACCGCCATATACCGACTTGATAGTAACATTTAATCTCTCAACTTCTTGATGAAATCAATTGAGATTGATAACCTCAACACAACGGTTTTGGTTCAAGCAACAAAATTAATCTCTCTTAAGTTTATTAACCACGACCGTGCATTAATAAACTGAAGTTACTTACTTGTGAAACCATCAACGATTAACCATCGGTTCGTTGAACGTTTCTAGTAGTAATTAATGTCGAGATGTTAACTAATTGTCATCTTAGCAACACTCCCCAACATTAATATAGAGATAGATTAAGGGAAGAATTAATATTCAAGGAAGAAGATTACAGATGAATAATCCTACTATAACTAATGTCAAGATTTTAACTAATTGTCATTGTTGGTCCCGGTTAATGAGGTAACAGTCTAGAGGGGGGAGGTGAATAGACTGTTATGGTTTTTAACTTTTTCAAGTCAAGTACCAAGAGAAACAGAATAGCCTGTTCTGTTGAGAACAGACTGGCAGCGAAGGTCTTCTAGTAGGTGTTCTGTCGAGATAGCCTCACAGAGGAGTAAAGGCACTTGGCCTTCTGTTAACTCACAAGAGGTGTTCTGCTGAACACAGATACCACTTCTTTGGAGTTAATCAGTTTGCAAGTAATAAAAGCAGCAAGTAAATGACACCAGGGATTTTTATAGTGGTTCAAGGAACAACTCGTTCCTCTAATCCACTGTTCCACTAAGCTTGTAAAACAACGGTTACAACAAACGCCTTAGTCCCTAGAACTTAAGAAGCTCTCCACGTCTTCTTCAAGTCTAGATGTCTCCTGGGATGCACTTCCTTGCTTCCTTTAAGATTGGTCTTGTTTCACTGAGTCTCCTTGAAGTATCTCCACTTCACTACTCGAGCTACTTTAAGACGTCCTTCTTTGCAGAAGATGTTCTGTTGAAAACAGAGTTTTCTCCAACTTGCTTCGTCACAAATGATTTGTAATGTGGTGCTTGAAGAGTTGAAGAGCAATGGGAACTTTGCCCTTGTTGGTGCTGAAGAATATATGAACTTATGATCTTCTCAACGTAGGCCTTTCTTGTGGATGGAATTGGAGTTTTGAATCTCAAGAAGACTTTTTGTAGTTAGAGCACAAGATGTGGCAAAGTTACCCGGTTGTTCTTCGAATAGTATCTTTTATACTGAAGTTGTCTTCCCGTTGGAGGAGGAGACAGCTGCATTGAATGCGCGTATAGTTTGAGTTGACCGGCTGGGCCCGCAAGTTTGGTGGCTTGCTATTTTGGGATAGGCTTTCCAGGAATCTCGGTCAATCATCAGCTTTTACTCTTCGGAGTATGGAGCTCATTGAATGAATATTAAATGTTGTCCTGTAGCATTTCCGTTGAGTATGAGCTAGCCGTTGAGGGAATCTTCCGATGAAGTACTCGGTTGTTCTAGTTGTCAAAACTTCTAAGTGTTTGATCTTTTGTTGGTTTTCAGAGGGTTTGAACACAGAGGGTCTCAAGCTCTTCTGACTATAGGAAGTCCAACAGAATACCATATGTACTTCTGTCAAGTAACCAGCCAACAGAGGGCCAAGAGATCTTCTGTTCAGAATACCATAAGCACTTCTGAGAGGCAAACAGCTAACAGAGGACCTGAGGGTCTTCTGTCTGTCGATTATACTAAAATGTTTACACTTAGAAAAAAATTCTAATACATCAATTACAAATGGGGGTACTCTAATGTTCTAATTAATCCAGCATCATCAAAATCTAAATACATTTATTCCTTACAGTCATCTTAACAACACTCCCCAAATATAGAGGAAGTAAATAAATACTACTATAACTAATGTCGAGATGTTATCTAATTGTCATCTTAGTAACACTCCCCAACATTAATATATAGATAGATTAAGGGAAAAATTAATATTGAAGGGAAGAAGTTAAGAAAATAACTCACAACTTTAATAATCAACAAGCTTCAAGAGCAACGCCAAGAAATGGAAGTTTAGCTCCTCATTTGGAGACTGAACATGCTATAAAAATATAAAAGAAATACTATTCTAAACTGAGCTAAGAGTATGGAAGGAGTGATTATTTGTGAAGGAAAAGTGTGCTATTTATATGTGTTTTTCAACACCTTTCGCCGGGTACCCGACCAGGTCAAGTGCCCACCCGACCGGGTGCATGTCAAAATCAGATAATCTTCCACGTTCTTGTGTTTCAGCACGTTAAAATGTCCCGGGTCAAGTCAGACCCGACCGGGTGGGGTAGGGGGACCGACAGGGTGGGTGCACTTTCCAGGCGGGATAAGGGTCAGTTTGATCCTCAAAGTTGCAAAAAAGGGGTCAAGTAAGTCCTTATATAGAAGATTCTGTCCGGACGTGCCATTTGAGGTGGCTCCCAGTGGAATTTTTTGATGAAATTTTTTGAGCATCTTATTCATTAAGTCTAGTTTACTCATACCAAATTTCAGATAAAAATTCAATGGGGAAGACATTCAAATGAATTCTTGAAGATAACTGTGCCGTTAAAAGCACTGTTATCTTCAAGAATTTATTTGAATGTCTTCCCGATTTAAGTTTTAGCTGAAATTTGGTATGAGTAAACTAGACTTAATGAATAAGATGCTCAAAAAAATTTATCACAAAATTCCACTGGGAGCCACCTCAAATGGCACGTCCGGACAGAATCTTCTATATAAGGACTTATTTGACGCCTTTTTTGCAACTTCGAGGACCAAACTGACCCTTTACTCCTTTCCAGGCACTTTCGATTGTTTGAATCAGACTCGACCGGGTGAAGTCTTCTACCCGGTCGGGTATTTGCTCCTGGACAGTCAAAATTCCTTTTTCTTCACTTCAAAGTCCTCCTTTTCAACACCGTAATTCCTAATTCTACTTTACAACTTACAGATGAGAACTAAAATACAATTACAACTAAAACCACACAAATGTTTACAAACTAAATAAAATGGTAAACAATCCACACAAATCAAATATAAAAAGATACATTTATACATTATTAATTAGTGCATATCACTAATCATACAACAATGTAAAAACCACTCCACCACCTTTTGTAGAGTCTGGATATGTCTGTAAACCCTAAATCGCATGGAAGAACGGATATGCCCTATAAACCTCCACTTTTGGCATATACAGAGCATTTCATAACATTTAATCTATAACATTCGTGGTTCATCACACATTTGTTGCACAAATGAAGGTTAGTTGACACCATCTTTTTAATCACGAGTTGTTCAACTATGTAAGGATTTGTTTGATTTAGGGCCCAACAAATTCTTATATGGTTAATCAAGTTGTCGTCGAGTTGGTTAATTTATGCAACTAACATTAGCAATGTGATTAGGAGGGAGGGTGATGGTAGTAACGGGATTACGGGATAGAGCGGTGATAGGAAAATGATCAAAATTATGTGAAAAAGATGATATTCTGTTCATCTTTTTTTTTGGATGAAATGTAAGTATATATTAAAAAATCATCCAAAAGTAACATAATACAATGTATCAAAAATAAACTATCTAATACAATGTAAGTATAGGAATGCTGGAAAACCCCTATGGCGGCCGTCGCTCATAGGTAGCATTCGCGGTGGACTTTACAGACACCGGCGGAGGGTGTACTACCTGGCTAGGGGATGAGGGCAGGATTTCAACCAACAACAGGAGATTTCAGGGGCTGTTTTCTTAATCCGCTGCAGGGGATTTCAGGGGGCTGTTTTCTCGATCGCAGCAGGGGTCTTCAAGAACCAAAATGGCGGTCATTGTCTAGGTTTAGCCTAGGGGTGTTTCTTTCCAGCTGACTCGCTCGTGTCCGGCATCTTTTTCCGGCCGACTCTCTCGTGTCCGGCATCTTTTTCCAGCCGACTCGATCGTGCCCGGCTTCATTTTCCGGCCGACTCGCTCGTGTCCGACGTCTTTTTTTAGCTTTGCTTCTGCAAACTCGATTGGAACGCTATTTGTTTGCCTTGAGGTAGGTTTTCTTCGGTCCATGTTTGAGCTTGGATTCTGATTTGGCAGGAAAGAATTGGGTCTAGATTCAGGGGAGTGTTTGTGGCTTTGTGCATTCCAGAGGCTAGGGCGGGTGGCTTGTTTGAGGCTTCTCGTCTTGCTTCATATACTTTCCCAGGATTGATCCCCAAAAGGTGTTATCCTTTTGACTAGTATTATTACGAGCATTTT